CAAGGCTGGGTTTGATTGGGAACCAAGGTCATTTTTGAAAAAAGTCCGGCTCCCCTAGGGAGCGAACCCTCGACCTTCCGATCCGCTGGCGACCATCTAGTTCCTACGCCGAGCCCTATATTCACAACACACGTGTGATATTGCTAACTGGCTAGATGTAAGTGCTGCCACCAGTGCCTCAGTAATTATATCATTTTGTCTTGTTTGCTGTTTGTTCTCTCGAACCTCTCTCTCTGTTTCTCTAGGCTGGCATTATTGTTGCTGTCTTCAGCAAAAGAATCTGCAAAGTGGTCCGCTGCCTGTTTTCTTGATAGGATGGCTTCTTCTTTGCATAGTGCAATATTAACATTTCTCCCTGTACTTTTCCACCTCACCTTTGAATCGTGAATCATCATCAGTTCTCTTCATGACTAGTGGCAAGGCTTCAGAGAGGACTTTCCATGCTTTCCTGTCCTGCGCAATCTTCAGTGCAGTTTTCCATGTCAAAGATGCCGCACTCAGGTCACTTTCCATCGTTCGTCTCCATGTTGTTTTTGGGCGCCCCCGTTTTCTCTTTCCCCCTGGTGTCCAAGTGACAGCGGTTTTGGAGGGTATATCAGGATTCATTCTCATAACGTGGCCAAGCCATTTCTATCTTCTCTTGGTAATCATACTGTCTAAAGTTTCTTGGTTTGTGACTTGAAGCAGTTTAGTGTTTGAGATTGTATCTGGCCAGACAATTTTGATAATTCTATGTAGTCATGTGTGGTGGAAGGTGGACAGCTTGTGTCCATCCTTTTTGGTCATTGTCCAGCATTCCGCTCCATAAACAAGAACTGGCAAAATGATGCTCTTGTAGTGTCGGAGTTTCGTTCCTCTGCAGTAGTTGTTGGATTTTTTTGAATCGTGAATACCAGCTGAAAATCTGTGCACGAGATAAACAATTATCCCCATAAACTGGTTGCATCAAATTCACTGTAGCAAAGGCGCTTTTTCTGAGTTTTAAACGTACTTTAATGTCAGCTTTTTTGCTGCATGCTGAATACGTAACAATGTACCTGTGACTAGGTTAACAAAATGACGGCTTGTTTGTTGTCTGCTTATCGGGTAGCGATGAAAAGTTGCCAGACCATAGATAAAGTTTGCCTTTTTGATTCCATGATGTGAATCATAGATGGCGTTTTTGTCTTAGCCATTATAAAATCAGTCTTATTACTTAATTGTCGGACCTTGTGGGTCCCGTACAATCTTTCAAGAGATATAATTAAAAGATATCAAACCAAACTAAAAGTAGACCAGCGAGCTATACAGTATGCCAAACACAAACAGAAAGTGCACGTTATGGCTAAAGATCTTTCATCAGAACATTACATAAATCAACAAAAACACGTGTACAGACAAGAATTAAATAATATAGTACAGGATAGTATGACGGGCACAGACAGATAGTAGCAGGGCTGGTGCTCACGAAGTTGATGAAATTAATGAACTGCGGCGTGAAACTATACAAATATTATGAAACGATATCTAAAAGGACAATGTCACACCAGTGGTTCATCATAGACATAGTGACTAAAAAAATCACACACTTTATAGAGCAGTCGATATTAAGTGGTTTATATGGTCAACATTCGTTCGGTCGTATTTGCATCCCAACACATTTTCTGGTACCCATTTAGAGCTACGTCGTATTGGGCATAGAGGGCTAGACCTATATTTTATTGACCAGTCGGCACTTGGTGGGTGATGTGGTCAGAATATCGCTGTTTGACTTTACTTACCAGGATTGCACGTGGTACGCACTCAAGGCTGGGTCGACATGGGAGCCCAGGTCATTTCTTTAAAAAAAAATTGTGCAGCCCAGTCAAGACCCGAACCCACAACCTTCAGCTACACCACGACGACTGCATATGATCGATACATAGCAAACCAGAATTGAGTTGACAGTTTCCCGTTTTTGAAAATGCGTGGCGACCCACTTTCGGGTCGCGATCCACAGGCTGGAATCCCATCCTCTAGCCTTTATGCCACTTAGACTCTCTCCGGCGGATACACATCATCCATCATAGTCCCTTGAAACGCGCTAGTGGTAAGGTGACCAGTTGATGTTGACTGTTTTATCAGTTCCTTCCATGTCTGACGGTGAGATGTAAAGGACTTGCTGATTGCATGTTGGGAGGCTGCGTGGTCTTAAGGCATGGCGCCCGTCTTCAGTGCTAGAGGTCCCGGGTTCAAGCTTGGGTGAAGGCAGGGATTTTTCCATATGGACTTCTAGTAATTTCCCCCTCTTCTCTGGGTTGTAAGATCGGACGCCCGTGTGTATCGTTGCACACGTAAAAAATCCCTTGGCAGTTGGAAATTATTTCAGGATCCTCGCCGGTGCTACAGAGTTCTCGCAATGCGCTGATAATCTTCGGGCTTATTATAGACTGAAAAGTAGAATGGAACACGTATGGGTTACTACCTTTGCGCCATGATGTTTATACGTTGTCTAAACCTACACCTAATGCTGGAGGCTAGTTCATTAAGCCACATTCTGTGCCAGGGTCTTTCTTAGTCTTCTTTTCAGACGATGTTCAATTAGTTTTATATTCATCGATTTCCCGGCTCGCTAGCGCAGTTCGTTAAAACCCTATGTGCGGCGACAGGATGATAAACTCTTTGTGGTCCGGGTTCACGCTCGGGGGTAGGCAGAGAAGCCAAAATGCTCCCAGATTTACGGTATCTTTCATGGAATCAAGACCGAAGGGTTGCGATGTCCATGGTACCCAAACCAAAGGGTTTACAACTCATGATTTCTAGATACTAAAAAAAAAAAAAAAAAATGCATCGATAGTAGATGGCTATCTGTGTTTGTAATTTATATGTATGTACAGACATGACTTGTTGCAACATACTCACAGTAGATTAACATTTCTTTCTGTGAGGCCGGTGTCTATACTGGCAGTGTTGTCCCAGACATGGTGCCTCTATTGAAAACAATTATTTGCAAAGTCTGACGAACAGTAAAAAAAAAAACAAAGATCTCAGAAGAGGCGGAGATATAGTTGTAGACAAATGATGTTAGTACCCTAAACAAAACAAACAAAAAAAAAAAAAAAAGATTAAACGGGTAATGTAGATGTGTTTTTTTTTTTTTAAAGTATCCAGAAACCATGAGTTGTTAACCCTTTGGCTCGGTGCTATTGATGTCGCAACCCCGCGACCTTGATTCCATGATAGGTACCGTAAATCTGCGAGAAATGTGGCTTTTCTGCCTACCCCCGGGCATGAACCCGGACCACAAGGAGTTCGTCACCCGGTCGCCGCGAAGTCAGGTTTAATCAACTTCGCTATCGAGCCAGGCAGATGCCTCTAAAGACCCTAGCTCACGAAGTAGAAATAAATGACCACACCAGAGGGCGGCAATCTAGATGGTTTGGTCATGTCACGAGAAGGAGAACACTGGAGTACGTAATGACGGTTGGAAAAATTAGAAGGGAAAAGAGGCAGAGCGAGGCAAAGAGAGACGATGCTGGGAGGTTTGACATAACGGCAAGTGAGATCGTTTGTGTCAGAACTGATTGAAAGTGCACGAGATAGAATATTGACACACAACACGATTATCAACGCCACGAGGCACGGACTATATAAATAAGACTGCATATTCTGTCTTCTCCTGATTTTTAACATAAAATGGAGAGAAGGCTCAAAACCACTAGCAAAAATTGCTTCATCTTTCTGATGGTTACAACAGGTCGCAGTTTCATTATTCTCAAACCTTTACAAAAGTGATGACTGTCTCTGTGTGATATTTAAGTTGAGTTGTCTTTGAGCCCTCGCCTCCTCTATCACATCTCGGTTTTTGTTGTCTGTCCAAGGCAATGATACAAGAACATTTAAAAAATGCACGTAACAGCGACTTTCTGGTTTTCGATGGGGCTGGCGATGTGCTTCAAGCAATAATTGTGCTTGTTTTCGTTTAACTTGTTGTGACTGACTACTTCTGATAGAAAAAACTGCATGCGTCGCCTCAACAAATTGCAATTATTGTTTACTTTGCCATACAAGATTATAAAATATTTTTTTAAATTTGCATCGCTGTGCAAACGTTTTAATTTATTCCTGTGTCCTTTTCTTTCCAGAACTCCAGAAGGTCACGTTACAGAAATCGCCGTAACAGTTGTCCAGTTCAGGAGCCAATCGCTCACACAAATTTTCAACACGACTGCAAAACAAAGCCAAGCAAGTAGAAAATAACAGATATCTGCACGTAGTTGGTTTCTAAGTTTCTGGCCCTCATCCAGAGCCGGTTGTAACATCCGGTTTATTTCTGCAAGTAAATAACCAACGCATTTACAAGTTCGACATCTGTTGAGAAATTCCCAGCCTCTCCCATCAGTGATAAGAACTATATCGGTCCTTGTGATCTTGTAGAATTCTATAATTTAATAAATTTCTCTACATATGTCCATCTTGAGTCAAGGATATACGGACAAACACTAAGGCCACTACCGTATGTGTACGATGGCAGGAATGTGTATTAAGTAAGCAGAGCACGTCCATTAGTACTGCCTTTGTGTTGTTCGCATAGGCGTTTGAAACATGCAGTTTTAGGATTTAAACACTTGAGGAAATGGAATCGACCTAATGCTGTATCCATAGCTGTCTTGACAGCGACATTTTCACAGATCGCATCGCAGAAATGTCTTCCGTAAAGAACAGACAGTGAAGATTTTGTGTTCACCAACTTGTCTGATTCAGCAGGCTTACATTCGTACTCATTGAATTGCGAATTAAATGCTTTTTTGAAACTGCTCCCAAAACAAAGACGTAAACTTTTACTGCATTTGTTTTTTCAATATCCGTTAATAATTCCTAGGATAAATGTAACTGTATTATCTCAGTTGAATGTATAATTATATATCGAAAACTGTCAACATTGACAATTAACGTGCTCTTTCTGTTTATATTTTCTTGTGAGGAATCGCCATCTTTCAGTCCTGGAACCCAGTTCTAAGGCATACCAGGCCCTTATGAGGATGGAACCGCCCAGTAACTTCCTGTCCCACTCATCGGGCCTCTCCTTATACCCCTCAATCACCGCTTCCAGTATTTTGTCTCCGAGTCCAGGGACGCAAGACTCAGTAGCAGCTCGGTCAGCCCTGGCTGTCTCCGGCCAAAACGGCTGGGGAAACTACGGGAATGAGTCTCTGATGCCGCACAACAGCTGCTCCATGTCATCGTACTCCAATCTTCAGCTGGGCGCTTCATTCCCGATGAACAGCAAGACCGCAGCGTACAATGCATTTGCAGGGGGAGACTATCTGAACAACTGCAGGCAGATGCAGATATCCTCCCTTGGGAGCCTCAATGGAATGAGCCGTTACCATCCAGGACTTTACGGAGAGATGTACCAGACTGGTCACCCATCAGCCTACCACAATGGTGGGTTCTATTCGGATATGGGGTCTGGGTTACCGCCGCTCCCTGGACGGGATCTCAACTGCCCTAGCGCACAGTCGGACTCGTCATCATCAGGTAAGTGTCGTCTGTTCAAGACATATGTTCAGATCTCATACAGCCATTTGTTTCAGTCAGTCAGCCAGCCAGTAGCCTGCCCTTTGCAGAACCTGCCTCCCACAACAACCCTTCGGAAAACTTCTCGATCACAAGCCAGATGTGCTACGTCCGATACACCTATCTGGAGATCATCCGCCACATCCTGTACCCATCTTCTCTTTGTCCTTCATCTTCCTAACTTCCCAGGCATATAATCCTCCATAATTGTTTTCTCTACACTTTCATGACGTTTCAAGTGACCAGAATATTGAGATTTTCTGTGTTTTATCGCCTTTAAAAGCCAACTATCTTCAATATTCGGTTCTTGAAGTAGCCATTTGTTTATGAATGTTTATAATCATTGTTATATATATATATCATATATATATATATATATATATATATATATATATATATATATATATATATATATATATATATATATATATGTGTGTGTGTGTGTGTGTGTGTGTGACTTTTCTCAAACATTTGGCGTATAGTGCATGTAGTGATACACCGATATTTTTTAATAGACTAACTGACACTCAACGAGCTATGTAGTCACAGTCGTTAGAGATTCGCCGAGGTTCCGGCACACCCACAGACGGGTCGCCATACAGCTGCGCCGTTCATCGTTCATGTGCTTGTCGAAATCACGCAGAAAGTCCTTCACTGCCCCAGTTACAAACTGTTGAAAGGCATATCGGTCCCAGCAAAAACCTCTAAGGTTTGCACACGCAAAGTAAGAATGCATAAGTAACCCGCCAGATATGCCAACCTGTCGCACTCAGGAGCTAGGCAACGGAGCATTTGCACTTCCTGTTTAGTAATGGGTAATTTGCATCAACAAAACGTTGCTGGAAAACAACTTTTCAGAACCTTACCGTCAGTCGGCTGACGGCCTTCTGGGGCAGGGGTTCAGTTCTGTTAATATTTCTTAAGATAAATGTAAGTCGTCACCTTATTGGTGATGTAGTCAACGTCATGCCGGCAGCCTTTACTTCCCAGAACAATATCTGCTACCCAGTTTAGGTTGGGTTGACACTGAAGCCAATGTTACTATTGAAATAATCTACTTCAATGCAGATTTCAACCTTGATCTTCGGGAAGCAAACAAGCGCCTACATCCGGGTATTGCTTATGATTTGCGGTTTTCGCCTCTGTCTCCCCCTCCTCTATCTCTCTCTCTCTCTCTCTCTCTCTCTCTCTCTCTCTCTCTCTCTCTCTCTCTCTCTCTCTCTCTCTCTCTCTCTCTCTCTCTCTTCTCTCTCTATTTCATACGTTGTATATTTGCCACTTTTTACTGAATCTGGTGTACGTTCGCTTCCTTTTTTTTTTTTTTTGAGGGGGGATAGATTCACTGCCCACTAAAAAGCATGTCGTACAAGCCGACTAAGTTTGAATGTTTCCATCGAAGTCACAGAGCATCAGCCAAAGACGCGAGGAATCAACATTCTACATTAAAGCCATGTCTGTAAAACGGAAGTGCACGAAAAACTCATTTTGTAAAATAAGATCAAAGTCTAAATGTGGATGAACAACCAGAATATTTTCAGGCATACTAGTGATTGTTATCATTGTAGGTGTATTGTTACTGTATATTGCATAGTAATGTAACATATCGTGCATATGTGTGTGCGTGCTCGTCCGCGCCATTGTGTTTGTGATTGTGTATGAATGTATATAGAGTGTCCACAACTACTACTACAAAAAGCCTGACATATGATATCACAAACGTTTAGTATGAGAATGGAGGTGGAGGCAGTCACTGATGCCTTCCTTCCACTGGGTTGAGAATTAGCTGTAGAGACATGTCGGTTCTTGATTCGACATTCAACATTCTTCACCACTACCGCCCAACCCTTTGACTTCCATATATTGTTAAGCATGGCAAAGGGTTTTAGTTTGGAGACACAATTTAGTATATATATAAGAGCAACATTTTGGGAATACTATTATACAACAGTGAATGTTGGAAAATGACAGCGGGAATTACACATAAACTTGAGAGTTTTCAAAATAAATGTTTAAGGAGAATTTACGAATGTTTTGGCCAAACAAGATTACAAATGAAGAACTGAGTAGGAAAACAGAATGTGCATCACTGTCAAATGCTATCAAAGTAAGACGATGGAGATGGCTTGGACATGTTTGCAGAATGCCTTATGACACTGGCAAAAACAGGAGACTGGACGACCTTAGGAAACTGGAGAAGGACAATAGAATGGGAAATGCAAGGGACGTGGGATACCATGGGCAGAAAAGCAGCAGACCGGCAGCAGTAAAGATCACTTGTGAATGCCTTATGTGTCAACAGCGACATGAAGAGGATATAGACCGCCCAGCCCGAAAACTACAGCATCTACATTCATAAACTGGAGTTAAACCATCGTGAAATCTGCTCGATTGTTAAGCTCGATAACCCGTTTCACGGGATTATCCAAGTGTGAACGTTCTAATCAGAATTACAGTTCTGCCTGTCGTGGCGTTTAAGGTCAAAACATAGAGTTCAGAACAAGTTCACGAAGACTGACCTAGCTGCTTCAAACCATCCTGATTGTTTGATAGTCGGCTCATGGTGTTTGCCAGAGTGAACGTTTCGATAACAATCTTCCTCAGCTGTGACAACTGTTGGCGTGACACTCATTCATGAATAAACAATAGTAGGCTTACTAAAGTTGCATTGATGCTGAATTTTGTAATTTTAAATTGGCCATGGCTTCTGATTGGAACTGGCCTAAAATGAGTACCAGGTAATGTCCTTGGAAGTAAAGGCGGCTGGCGTGATGATCACCACATCATATTAAAGCGTCGAATTATCGATACAAGTAAAGGTCAGGTACTATGTCCCCAAAGCGTCACTCGTGATAAAAGGGTCCATTACTCTATTCTACATTACATTACTTGACTTGACCCTGCTACGGTTATGTACATTACTTGACTTGACCCTGCCACAGTTATGTACATTACTTGACCTGCCCCTGCTACAGTTATGTACATTACTTGACTTGACCCTGCCACAGTTATGTACATTAATTGACCTAACCCTGCTACTGTTATATGCATTACTTGACTTAACCCTGCCACAGTTATGTACATTAATTGACCTGACCCTGCTACAGTTATGTACATTACTTGCATTGACCCTGCTACAGTTATGTACATTACTTGACTTGACCCTGCCACAGTTATGTACATTACTTGACTTGACCCTGCCAAGGTTATGTACATTACTTGACTTGACCCTGCTGCTGTTATGTACATTACTTGACTTGACCCTGCCACAGTTATGTACATTACTTGACTTTACCCTGCCACAGTTATGTACATTACTTGACTTGACCCTGCCACGGTTATGTACATTACTTTACTTGAACCTGCTACTGTTATGTACTTACTTGACTTGACCCTGCCACAGTTATGTACATTACTTGACTTGACCCTGCCACAGTTATGTACATTACTTGTCTTTACCCTGCTGCAGTTATGTATATTACTTGACTTGACCCTGCCACGGTTTGTACATTACTTGACTTGTCCCTGCTACAGTTATGTACATTACGCGTAAAAGGATGATGAGGTGGTCTTCACAGTAAAATTCTTGTTTGCTTCGTACCTTGGAGGTTATGAGCTGGATCTCTGTATCCAGTGTTCGGTTAGTGATGGGGGTCGTTGGTGGAGCTGTGGGGTTCGGACTTTGTGTAACCCTTCCCAGATCCTATGAAAAAGTGGCGCTGACTATCTTCATTCGGGGAAGATGAATTTTTCTTTTCTTTTTCTTCAGTTTATCGAGCCCTTGAGGTTCATTGCTGCAGATATCACTCGCCTCCATTTATCTCTTTGTTTGGCCTTCTCTTTCCAGTTGTTGACAATAAGTGTTTGTAGGTGTGCCTGAATAGTATCTCTGCATCGTCTTCTTGGTCTGCCTGTGCAGATGTGTACTATCTGTAATGTCATCAGTCCATTTCCACCTTAGTCGTCCTCCTGCTCCCACATCAGGGCTTGTTTACTTGTTGGTAGTTGTTGCTGAATTCTAATGAATTGACCAGTTAATTCCTGTCATACTGTCAGATTCATTGTTTGATTCACTGTGTGATTGTGTCTAATTCACTGTCTGATTGTGTATAATTCACTGTCTGATTGTCTTTTTGTTTCACTCGGTCACGGATGGTTGCGTTGACGGCTTTCCTTAGAAAGTGAATTCACTGTCACACTGTCTGATTCACTGTCCGATTGTGTTCTAATTCACCGTCGGATTTTTTTTTTTTTCACTCTGTCACGGATGGTTGCCTTTGATATGTCAATGATAGCACAGTTTTTTTTTATAAAAGATGTAGTTTACAGTGTTGTTTAGCCGTCATGCTCAACTTTGTTTGTCCTTTATAACGGTTTCACTTGGTACGTCGGGGCACATGACCTACGTCATCTTGTTTCTATTCGCGCTCTGCCATCCCCAGTGAATAACCTTGCTGGATATTTACATGACTTAATTCACTTTGACTAATCAGAAACTATGGAGTTAAAATTAATCAAAATGACGTCAAGTATTACCAGTAAAGATCTAATAAGGTGAAGGGTCATAAGTGGGAAATCGGCACAGAACCAATTCTAAATTACCTACAAAGACCGCGAATCAGATACAATTGAACAGTTTGCTTACTTAGAAAGAATGTTATTCTGTATCTGAACCACTTGGTTCGGAATCGATACATGACAAGGCATATGTCGTCAAGGCTCCTTTGGGAACAAGAGAAGCGGAATCAGTAGAAAAAACGTTTCCCGTGTGTGTTCCAGGGCCCTATTATAAGGAAAACAAGAATAGACCCACTGGCTACCCAAAAGCATGTCGTAAGAGTCCACTAATTGGGCGCTTGCTTCGAAATCAGAGTGCATCTGTCTGACAGGCAAGGAACCATTAGTCTGCATAAAAATTAGTCATATATGTAAAACGGATGCACACGCAACACTCAGGTTTTGGA